GTTTAAATAGCCTTTTGGTCAAGCTAAACTAATACATTAACACCCACACACACGCGCGCTTACTCCCACGCACACACACACACACACACCACACACACACACACACACACACACACACACACACACACGAACACACGCGCATACCCACAACAGGTTGTTTCGTGCCCGACATTGACGAGGCTCCAGTTTTTTTCGTTATTTTTTTCTCGCTCTTTTGTGTCACACATTTTATTTGCCTTTTATTTAACAATTTTTATTCTCGTTGTGCCAAAAAGGTCATTTGTGGTCGGTTGGCCAAAAAATGCTCGGCAACAGAGCCGAATTGTTGTTGTTGCTGTTGTTGTTGTTGTTGTTGCTGGTGTCTGCTTTATAGCAGGCCGGCCATTGGCATTAGAGCGTTTTGACAAACACATTAGGTGCCCAGTTTTGGCCGTCTTTTGCTGACCCTGCCCGACCCTTTTGCAGGGCCGGCCCAAAAGCCTTATTACACTTGCAGGAAGGGAAACGGCGTAATCTTTTGTGTTTTATCAACGTATTTGATTAAACTTTCTTGTTGTTGTTGTTGTCGTTGCCATTTTGTGTGGCTTTGCGTTTGCCTACTTTGTGGCTTGAGGCGTTAATCATACGCCCCATTGTGCCGGGCGATAGTCGTCGTCGGTGCGCCGTGCGAGACATGTGCGTAGTTTTTTATTCATATGAGACACATGAGATTATTTGCGCAACGTTTAAGCAGAACATTTGACAAAATTAACACAACACAGCAAGAGCAGCTGTTAAGATTGTATCTACAACAAAAACAGTTTTTAAACTGTTATAAATTATGGCCTAATTTTAAATTTAATTTCAACTTTGGCATACCATACATTTATATTGTCAAATAAAATTCACAATAGCTTAAGTTGGTTGACTTAAATATTTGCTTTAAATTCATATGGAAGTTGATTGCAATATTTTTCCTTCATTGTTGTTCCATTATACATAAAAATTTCGAAAAATAAAAAAGTATACTAACTAAATATAAACTCAATTAATAATCCTTCTGGTATAAAAAAAATATATTAACTAAATTTTAACTCAATTAAAAATCCTTCTGGCCTAAAAGCGGTACCATACTTTAAGGCTTGCTTTCAATATGAAGCACATATAAAATCCAGTTTACATTGAAAACCACAATTTTAAAGAATTCACTTTTTGTTTTATTCCTATTAAAATACAAAAATTATTTTGAATTTTTAGCATTTGATGATGTGAATAAGGCTTAAACTGGGCTTTAATATCCTTTAAGCTGCATTTTCTGGTGCTGCAACCAAATCAAGTTTTTGCCCTCGCTCAAAAAGAGAATCACATGTGATGCTCTTTAAAATTCAGGGGTCATAAAAGCACTTAAAACAGCAGCTTGTAAATGCCCTTTGAAAATGTTGGAAAATATTGAGGAGATATTGATAAGCAGAACTTTGCCTAAGTGTTTTTTTTTGCTTTGTTGCCGGAGCTAAAAAGTCGAGTAATTAAACAGAGCTTTGGCAACAGCTGCTGTAAAATTCCTGCGAAGCTCTCGCCTTTGTTCAATTCATAGGTGACATAAAAAAAAAAAACTACATATTTGCATTCACATGCTAGGCGAAATACTTGCACACTCTGCCGTAGGCGTACGGTGGGCGTGTCTGGGCGGGCTGCGGCTGGGTCGCAAATATGAAGTTCGCTTGATTAAATTTTTTGCAACTGCTGCTGTCAGGGCGAAAGATATGTTCTTTGGGGATTCTAGTGAGAATTTATCGTTAGTGATTTATAAAGCAGCATTCGGAGATATTTCTAGGAGAAGAGAAAGCAAAAATGACAAAAACTGCTAACGAGTGACAGAAACTTGCATAATATTCGGCCAAGCTTGAGCCAAGAAGACAAGTTAATATTCAGGTGAAATTGGTTAAGTTCTCTTGGGTAAAGAATTTATTCAGCTATTTGCGCATTTTCCTCAAACTATTAACTTGTTTGCTCTTTCGGCCAGCAGCTAGAGAATGTCAAAGCAAAGATTGTCACAGCAGAGAAACGGGTAAGAAAAGAAAAGAGAGTGTGTGTGACATATTTCAGACTTGATTAAAGCACGTATTTTGCATGTTGCTAGCTCTTAAAGTATTTACCTGCTTACAAAAAACATTAGAAGCCTATTTGAAAGCACAAAAAATTAGATATCTAAAATTGGCTTCTTTACATTTATATTTAAAAACTATATACTTTAATTAGCAACAAGGGAGAGAGAGAGAGAGAGAGAGAGAGAGAGAGAGAGAGAGAAAGAGAAAGAGAGAGAGAGGGAGGGAGAGAGAGAGAGAGAGAGAGAGAGAGAGAGAGAGAGAGAGAGAGAGAGCGAGAGAGAGAGAGATAGAGAGAGAGAGAGATCGAATCTTGATATACAACGCCTTGCCCTCAGTCCGAACCACTTGAGAATTAAAAGAAATTAGAAAACATTTTGTCATTTTATATTTTAAATTATATATGTTATATATTATATATAATAAAAGAAATTAAATATGTCCCCGCTGAAGCTTAAATACTCTTGCAAACACGTGGCCTACGATTGTCAAGCTATTTGCGAAAAATTGTAGAGCTGCATGTTTGGTAAGGGTATTATAAAGTAAAAATAATTAAGGCGTTGGGAGAGACATCTGCAATATATTCATATATTCCAAATTTAAATTTCATCTTGGCACGACAATTAGATAAGTGAATAATGAAAAGTCTAAGTCTATTTCTATGCAAGCTAAGCTATGGTTATCTTAATCAAAGGTATTTTGTCTGCGATTCACTAAAAACATCTTATTATTCTCGTTTGCCTTTAATTACAGAGTTTGCGTTTGAGTTTAAATAATCGCGAATATGGAATAGTTACTAAATACTTAATATATAAAAGTACCATCGCGTATGCCCCTATTTTCCAAATTGGGTTTTCAAGAGGTCAACTCATCGAAAGGTTAGGAAAACGGCGCACCTGTTCAATGTATCTTTTTATTTTATTATTTTTTAATTTATGGCAAATTGACGCCCATGCGAAGGCTTTAGAAAATGATGTCATGGACTAATGGGCAGACCACACACACACACACACACACACACACACACACACACACACACACACACACACACACACACACACACATACGCACAAATGCTCGCCCACACACACATTCTCAAGTAAATGAAAAAAACGAACCACTTTTTAAAGGACATGAAGCAATGTGCCCATCATTAAAACCTAACCGAATCAATAAAAATGCAATTTCAATGCACGTCTGGCTACAGTAAGACAAGACGTAGGCTGTAAGCCAGGGGAGTGGGCGTGGCAAACGGAGCATATATTTAAATTCATATGGAAAACTTGCGATGTAAATAAACTTGAGTAACTTTTATGCCTGGCGCTGTGCATTGCAATTCATTTCAAACGTCATAAATTCATTTTACAACAGGCAACAAAAAACGCAGGCAATTGAATTATTTATAAGCTGAAGTTACAGGGGAAGGAAAGGGGCGGGAGTTGGATGAGGAAAGGGCTAAGCAGCTGCAGAGTGCAGACAAGTCGAGTGGCCAAGACTTTGCCTAGTTTTCTTTATAGCTTACCTTAAGGCGGCGCCCAAAAGAAAAAAAAACAGCAACAATCTGACAAAGGGGTGTGAAGTGTGTGTGTGTGTGTGTGTGTGTGTGGGTGTAGCCGTCTGTGTGTGCACATATGCGGGTGTCTCTCTTAACAATGATAACAAATGAGCTGCAAAAAAAATGAAACAACAAAAGGCAGACACGCCGGGGACAACCCTTATAAAAAAAAATTGACGTAAAGTTTTCCGCCCTCCAGGCAAAAGCTGAAAGTTAAATCCAGCCTCGGAGCGGAATTCTAAATGCATAAGCATCGACATCGACAGCAGCAGCCTCTGCTGCGAGGGGTGTTAAGTGCATGCGAATTATTTTTATAAGGGTTCACGCGATGCAACGTGTCGTATACGTGATAGCGTGCGTATACGTGATGGCAGCGGCAAGCGGAAATTGAATTGTAAGCAGTCAAAGCGAGCCTGTCGGGCAATCAGATCAGCAGGAGGCAAAAAAAAAATGTGTAGTATGCAGCTTGCAAAGGGTTGAGTAAGGGTTTAAGGGATGAAGCTAATTGCGGACGTCACAAGCTCCTCAAGTTAAACGCACTTGGAGCAGTCATAATATTGAAATAAAAACTACATTTTATTAAATAAAAAATAGAGAGAAAAAGGGAAAATAAGGGAACTGATTTCGAAGATCCTTTAAGTAATGTTTAACACTATGTATTAATATGATTGTAAAAAAAAATGTTTTATTTATATTGCAATTTACATTTACTTAAACATCCTAAGATTTTTGAGAATCCTGTTTTTGAATTTGCTTCAAAAGGGTTCTAAAACATAAAGCTTTTACATACAATCAATTTTTAACTCAATTACTGTTTTTGGAATATATTTAAACTATTTCAAATATACTTAGAATTTTAATGATTTTTTATAATTTCCAAGAATTATTGCTTTCAAATTTGTTGAAAAGGTGATAAATCAAACGAATTTTATTATAGATGTAGAAGGAGAATAGATTATTAAATAAATTGTAAAAATAATCTTCATGAGCTATATTAATTAATAATAATAATAATATATTAGTAATAAAAATAGAAGAAAACTATTAACGAAAGTGAAGAAATCGGAAATATGATATAGAATATTAAGTAGATAGGACTAAGAGATAGTTATGGGAAATCCCATTCCTGAACGTATCCAAAGATTTTATTAGTGAAGATTTTATATAGTTAAACAACACTTTGATGAATTTAAAATATTCTATTGAAAATTTTATTTTCTAAAACAAATTTTTTTTAAATTATTAAAACGTAAGATATTTGTCATTTAAAAAGCTCTGCCAAGATGTTTTAAATTTTTTTAATATTTAAACTTAACTATTTATGCTATTTTCCTAGACACATGACAACAATATTAATCAATATATCTCTTGTGCCAGATCTTGCAGCGTCTCAAGTATTTAAAGTAAGCCCAAAAATGATGTACTTCAGGTCCCAGCTAAGCTACGGCTGCGCCTTGGCACTCTTCAGCTTAAATCTATTGATGCTGCAGCAGTCCAGCGCCGAACTGTCCGCAGTTCAAGGTGAGCAGCAAATACCCTGCCAAGGTCCTCCTCAGCTGCTTACTGATCTCTGGCATTTTACAGGCGCTCCCATTAGTAGCCTGTATGATAATCTACTGCAGCGTGAATATGCCGGACCCATTGTATTTCCGAATCATCAGGTGGAGCGCAAGGCGCAGCGTTCGCCGTCCTTGCGCCTGCGTTTCGGACGCAGCGATCCGGACATGTTGAACAACATTGTGGAGAAGCGTTGGTTCGGCGATGTCAACCAGAAGCCCATTAGATCGCCCTCGTTGAGGCTGCGCTTCGGTCGCCGCAGCGATCCCAACTTGCCCCAAATGCGGCGCACCGCCTACGATGATCTTCTCGAGCGTGAGCTGACCCTCAACAACCAGCAGGTGAATCAACCAGGTGCTGGCTATGATGCAGAGCTTTCGGATGACTATGATGTCGCCTTCGAGCGCGCCGTGCGCAAGCCCCAGCGTTTGCGCTGGGGACGCAGCGTCATGTCCAGCCCAATGGATCTTGGCAATAATCGTGTGGACAAGGATCAGGTAAACCAAAGATCTAATGAAAGTGACAAAATGACAAAACTTTATGCAAATTAATATTTAAGACTAGCGGGTATTACTAGGTTTTGACCTTGCCATGATTTATTAGCTAAGAATCAACTGGCGGATGGAAATGTAAATGGAATGTAAAACTTCAAGTCCGTAACGAGAAAATGCGAATCAATTTTGTTGAATTGTAAAACCTCCATTGCGAAATATAAGTTTTCATACAAAAATTCTTTATAATACCAGCAGAATATTTTTTAAATATTCCAAGTACTTCCTGCTAAGTATTAAAGCTCTTATCATCTTTCATAATTATAAAAAGAAAATTTATAGGTCGCCACCAAGTTTATCTGTTTTAAAAGTATACATTTAAATACATTTTTAATATATAAAAAATATTTGATAGATTTCCAGTTCTAATTAAAATTTTATAGGTTAGGTTTATTTCAATTCGAATATTTATTGGTTTTTAAACGAGAATAACCTTATTTTCACTTAAATTGTTCTTAAGCCCAAGTTGACTTAAATTTGTATCGGATTTTAATCATCTTGCATATCTTCCGAGTTTAAAATGGTATTTTTTGTTTTTGTATAATTTTAAATGAGTGCTGATGAGAATTGCGTAGAGAGGCGATCTTTAGGCGATTTTAAAGGCGAATCATTTTTGTCTTTTAAATCATTTTGATTATTACTATTACAAAAGTGTTATTCAGACTGATTTTCAATTCCGCCCTTACTTTTCTATATCCGTTAGCAGCGGGAACGCACTCAACTGGAACGGGAGTGGCTGAAGTGGCAGGAGATGACCCGCATGCTGTTGGCGCTGCAGCAGCAGTATGACAGCTCTGCCGGCGAGCTTGCTGGCGGCTCTGGCGAGGACACCGATGAGGATCAGGATGAGGACAACTCGGAGTATCAGTTCCAGCGCGAGGCACGCAAGCCCATGCGCTTGCGTTGGGGCCGCAGCACTGGCAAGGCGCCAGCCGAGCAGAAGGTGGGCAGAGCATGAGCTGGACGCCAAGTTGGCTATGGATTCTCATAATTGTCTCTCTCTTTTTAATTTTGTAGATGCCGTTGGCTGCTGAGACTGCGTCCGTCGCGCCCAAGTCAGAGAATTAAATAAAAAAAAAATTGCTTAAATCTGAAAAATGGAAATGAACAAAAGGACAAAGATAACTTACTGATAACACAAATTAGGCGGAAATAACAAACAAACACACACACACACAAACAAAATGGAACTTATTTCAAGCACTCAACTGAGGGACAGTTTTTGAAGGCATCTACGGTAAGCGCAGGGAGCTAAGGACACAGGCTAAAGAATACATACATATAAACCATATACTAACTATATAAACATATATGCATAACCGATTACGTGTACATTTTAATTTTGTGCAGCTATTTAGTAAAGAGTACTAAATTCTATAGGAAATTTAGCCCATGAACTTTAATAAGTTGCTGGCAAGTTATATACCAAAAAAATTAATAAATTAAACTTATAACAAAATATATATGAACATATTCTAAATTATATTATATTATTTTAATATATTTCCCATATATTTCTTTTAATTTGTAACATTAAAATATATTTTTCTATTCATTTTAATCGTCTAATAATTAACTAATACGTTTCTTTATGATACTAATATATTTTTACAATTCATAATATTTAGTTATTTACATTTTTGTTCCTTAAAACTTATTCTAAAATTTCTATATAATTCGTATTGAGTAGCCTTATAGAAAGTTCCCCAGGCCATAATCCTAACAAGCTCAATTAAATCGCCTCTCTAACACGTCAATCGTAATACCAGAATAAATGTATATAACGGCAAACCGTAAACAAGTTTTTAAAATGTAGCGCAAATTTGTTATAATATAAAAAATTATAAAAAAAAAACAAATGAAGAGAAATGAAGAAAATATTGAAAAATATGTAAAACCGTATTATTTTTGTTTAAATTTTAAGCGAATTCTATTAAAGTTATGACGAAAATGTTTGAAAAACATTTAAAGGCCCCCGAAAGGTGTATTACTGCAACAATTGTTATATTTCTGTGTGCTAAAAACAATTATATACATTTATCTACTACCATATTAAATGAGTATATAAAATACTTCATACGTATAAAATTATAAACAAAAATATTTGTCTACTAAATGTATTGAAATTTTATTGATGTATTTTTAAAAAACCAAAAAATAACAAATTAACAAATTAAAAACAAAATATGCAAAAAAAAAAACGAGACAAATTCAACTTAAATCTGACCGTCGATAACAGAACAAGTTTTGAAATCAAAAAGTCTCTTGTATATTTTATTTACACCATCATTGAAAGTACGACAAAACTTATTCAATTATATATTTGTTTTACTAATGAAATGTCTTAATATAATATCATACAAATTAATATATTAGGGGTACTAGGAACGCAGAATGCAAAGGCAAAGGCGACAATTTTCGGGAAAAATTGTCCAAACAGTTTCTCCACGCAGCACGCGATATATTGTACGAGTATTAATTATATGCATCTAACAAACTGTCATGAATGTAAATAATATGCAGAATGCTGAATGAACACGCAAAATATTTAACCCGATATAAAAGATACATACTATATCCTACAAAATACAGTATAATAAATGGTCAAACTCTGTAGGGAGTGAACAAAAAAACTTGTTGGCAATTTATTGGAAAATTTCCGAGTAAGTATTATTATTTAATTCAATTATTTTTTTTATTAATTGAATATTTTTTTTTATTATATTTTAGTTTGTTTTTCATTTGAAAGTCCTTTGAAAAGGGCATTTTATTGACAACTGGGATCAAAATTACACCGATGAAAATAGTCAGACATAAGATCAAAAATTCTGCTGTCCACCTTTTGTTGGTCGAAATTAACGGCAGTTGCAGATGAAAAGAAAATCAACAGGTAAGTCAATTTAGAGATGGCAGCTTACGTTTACATAAAAAGACAAGTTCAGGTATATTTTAGTTTTTATTTTAAATATACTGCAAGAGTGTTTTGATGTTGCTTAAATATAAAATCGCCTAATAATTTGTATACCCTGAACCCATGAAAATGGGTAAAATGGTTTTGCGCAAATGTATGTAACAGGGAGAAGGAAGCATCTCCGACCCCATAAGGTATATATATTCTAGGTCAGCATCTATAGCCGAGTCGATCTAGTAATGTTCGTCTGTCCGTCCGTATTTATGAACGCGTCGATATCAGATCATATGATCAATAAAAACCGATGTCAAAATCCTGATTTTGGAGCAAATCTCATTGCTTTTAATGGCTAGATTCATCAAATTTGACATGTAGCTTCCAAAATAGTATATCCAGTTCAAGTAGGTTCAGGGTACCCCCTAGTCGGGCACTCCCGACTAAAGCAATAGCATTCATCTATAAAACATTTAAATAAATTAATATTTTAAAATGAAGGTGCAAAATAAGCTTAATATAATACAGGTAATGATCATTTAAGACCCTTTCAAATCAGGTGAAGAGATTGCCATTAATAATTTGACGGTCACAAAAGACTGGAGACTTAATTAGCAAGAGCTATTGCCGTTTTAATGTATTACTAAATACAAAGTCTTGTAAAAATGTTAGATACCATTCGATTCTATTTGCTTCCACGTGATAATTCAGGATCTGCCTTTTTGACCAGAGATGTAACAATTTAAAGCTTAAATATAAAGTCCACAAACATTTTAAGAAAATAAATTAAATGAGAAATACAAATAAGTTGAATAAAATAAATAAGCAATGTCCTTTGAAATTATGCAAGGATATTGAAGAATTATGGCAATTTTTAAAAAAATGGATATCGGAAGGATATACCTTTGAACGTACAAAAAGTAGGACTATTAATAGGCAATCTACCAAAAATTCGGAATCAAACGGGAAGTGAATCCCAATTGGACTAAAATTACAATATCCGGGGATAGCCTGGATGTGTCAAGAACTATCGGACACAAGATGGCCAGATGATAACCCTGATCCCTGCGAATTGTTTGACGTAAGATATGCCAGGATTAGCCTATTATCTGTACAAAAATAACATAGCGTCTAGCTTTTTTAGAGATTCTTATCATTTTAAGTGGACATTCTTAAGTGGCACGATAAGAGAAGGATAATTGAAAAGCTCAAGCAATGTTCTGCGAATTAGATCAAATTGCTAGTCTATCAGGACAAATTTAAATTAATATTTTCTAGAAATTCTTGTCCTGATTCTATGCTACTTTTAAAAGGTACATACAAAATTTACGCTAGATATTTCAAAGCTTAAACTTTTATGAAATACAATATTGGAAAGATATGGCAGAATAAATATCGCATTTGTCCATGCATATTTTTCGTTTCAGGCTTACCTGAACATTTTAAATCGTAAGGGATTCTGTTACAAAGGATATTATACTATATAAAGACCAGCATTCCAATAGACTACTTTAAGACCTACGACTAAGGTAAGTTCAATTTTGGATCGGTAAGATACGAGCATATCATTATTTTCATAAAATCCCTTGCCAAAATAAAAAGCGATAGCAGATTAGGGTTTAAATTTATATAAAAAAATTAATAATAGACCCTGCATCATAATATTAGTAGAGTGTAAACAGAAGTGTTTTCACTAGCAAGTTTTACTGCACAGTTAACTGCAGCAAAGGCAACCGCCAAAAGACCCTCCGGAAATCCAAACAATTATCAACTTTGAAAGCCCCGCCGTAACACAATTAAGCAACAAATGTGAGATCATAACCATTAAAATAAAAGCAAAACCCGAGCCGAGGCTAGCAAGGCAGACGGAACCCGGAGCTAAAACGTGGCTAACAACGTCTCCTGGATTGTTATGGACTTTTGCATATTTACCCGTTTGTAACTTGGCTCAACTGGCTGTCTTATGCGCCAACCCCCCCACAACCCCGCCTCAATTACGTTTGTACTGATAATTAACCTTTCACCTGTAAATGTGAATGTGCGTAGAGTATTTCCCCAACATATTCATCGTATTATCTTCTACATGGCGCACATTTGTTTAACAGCCAGTAATTGCATTTAACATTGACAACACGAAAATGCACTCAGTTATGAGCTAATGGAGTCAACAATTTTTTACATTTGATTTAAAATATATTCGCACTGGCGCCATATCAAATATGTTTCTATGCATTTGTGCTGATCAAATTGCCAGCCAAAGAGAAAGCAGAATGCATCTCTAACGCCTGTGCTATACATATTTTACATACCCTCTCAAAGTGGAAGCGAGTTATCGCACATTTGCCACATTGGCGAAAAAGCTTTTCGCCTTTGGGAGATAATAAGACCGAGCGAAAGTAATTAGCCTATTTTTAATCGCTGCGAAAGTTAAAATGTGGTTTTAAAATTTCTAAAATGACTGAATAATTTAGTACAAATCATAAAAAATGCAATTAAAACATGTCGCACAGGTGTCAGAACATTTGAGCGCAAATGGCGAGTGGGCGAAGAGAAGAGGTGAGAAAAATGTTAAATAAAACTTTGCATTTGCTGCTGCTGTTAATATCAAAAGTTTGATGAAGCTATTTAAATGTTATGCGACTCTTGTTATTGTTGCTGTTGTGTTTTGTACTTTGTACTTAGCAAATATTTATGCAAATAATATGCAATTATACACGCACACACACACTCACACGCACACATGAGTGCAGAAACACATTCGCGGCGCCTAAAAGCGCTCAGTAAACAGTGAACTTTTTAACACACATGCAGCACAAATGTGTCAGAAACACACACACACATACAACAACTTGGGAGAGCAACAAACACATGGAAGTGTGTGAAGGCGCGTCTAAATCGCGAGCGAAAACGGGCGAAGCGTATGCAAATGGCAACAAAAGCAATGCCGAATTTGATGAACGACTCTAAGATACGCTTGAACTAGCCTTGTGTGAAAATTTCCCAATTCAACATAAAGAAAGCTGGTTTGCCTTAATATAACTAAAAAAAAAAACTTTTTATTTGATCAGGCATTTTATCGACACCAAACTCTACATAAATTGCAACAACTCGATTACACAATATGTTTACAGGGTATAACAACAGCGAACAACAAAGCCACGGACAGCAACAATGGCTGTTTGTTTCTTTCGTCTGTGTCAACATCGGGCCGACAAAACTAATGCGTAAGTTTTCTAAAGGCGGAAAACAGAGCAACAACAAAGTGCGCGCATAAAATGTTGAGCTAAAATAAAATTTGTCAGTTGCAGATCCTTAGCCAAGGTACTGTAAAATTAAAACATTCAACCTTAAATTATCTTATCAAAAAACATTCCATATTTGTGAGCGTCCGAGAGATTTTGAGAACTTTCATGAAAGTATGGTTCATAATTAGATTTATTATAAATCTTAAAAATATACTCTAAAATGAATTGTCTGTTGGGAGATAAAATTTTACTTTTAAATTGTGACAAACATGACGAACACATACAGAGTTAATAAACATATATTAAGCCGTTGCATAATTAACATTCAAATTCAATTACAATGTTGTCTGTTATCAAATGAAGATTCTTCTGAACCAACCTTAACATTTAAAAGAATATATATATAGAACACGATGCACTACGAATATTAAGAAATTATAGCAGTTCATTTGTATGGAGTGTGGGCTGATTTGTTTGTGGGAATACTGCTTCATGTGATTAAGAAAATTGACTTCACTGTACACTTTTTCCTAAAGCTAAATACATTTTCTATGCTATTCCGATACTTGTCTTATTGTAAAGTTCTCAAAATCGTCTTGTGGTATGAGACGCAATCTCATATCGTTGGCCAAATGCAGCACGGCATAAAGCGCCACCGAGGGCGAGAGCGAATCAGCCATTTTGGTGGACAGCACGCTGGGTAACTTGTCGTAGACCTCCTTAAACGTGGCCATGCCTTTGGCATACTGCTCCTCCTTCGCTTTCGCATGAGCGGGTATTTTCTCCTCCTCCATGGTGGCATTGCTTAGCAATTGTTTTTGTATCAGAGAATTGCAGCTGCGCTTGAGATTCTTCATGTCAATAACCTTGGCACGTTTCGCAAAAGGCACAATTACTTTGGTGACCTGTTTAGAAGGAGTTATAGCAGAAATTAGTAATGTTTTGTCGCAGAAAAGAGATGTAAATATGTTAACATTAATGTATAGAAAGGGGAAAATCTCCTAATCGTTTTTAAAAGGTCTAAATTTATTGCGCACTCACCTGCGTTGGTGCTCCCTCGAAATCGGTGGCAATCTCGAGTACCGTATCATTGCAGTTATTGCGCATCGTTGTGTTCCCTTGGCTCAGATTGCCGCAGGTGGCTTGCTCACCGGCCAAGAACGTGGCGCCCGGCTCCCCGCTCAAATTCATGGTGCTCACATTCATTTCGCCTGGCGAATGAGGCGTGTCCGGTTCAAAGTGATCATTGTCAAAGAGTTCCACATCATCGGCAGCATCGTCAGCAGCCGTGTTCGTATCCCTATCCATGTCGTCTTCGTCATCCTGCACACCATATCGCCGACTCACTTTGATGCTGGGCGCATAATCGTATCGATAGAAATAATTGGGTTCAAACTCGAACTTGGTGGGCAACATGAGTTTGCGAGCATCCCATCGCTTTTGATAGTTGGCCTTGCGCAGTTTTGTGTTCGAATCGAGCGTCTGGAAGAGATTCTCCGTGCACTCGCCAAAGTTCAGCTGCTTGCTGCGTCGCTTCGCCGCCTGCAGCGCGGCACGGCGTATTCGTGCCGCAGCTGCTGTGCCGCCGCTGCCGCCTGCGGCTACGTTATCCTGTGCATTGGTGTGTCCAAGGGTGCTACGTGCCCGTGTACGCTTGAACTTCCAGTGCGATGGTCCCGCCCAGAACTGAGAGATTTGGTCCATTGGCCGATAGGAGTACTCAAGCTTAGAGCTGCCGTCAACGGGTCGCAGATCCTCAATCAACACTGGCTGTTTGCGCAAGGCACGACAATGCTGCAACGTCGTGCGCTCCTCAGTTGTTAGATCCTCTAACTCATTGTAGTCAACCTCTAGAACTGTAGCCGCCGGCGCATCGAGCTCCGGCATTGGTTCGCACTCGGCATTGATGTCAAAGGCCATGGATAGCTCTTTTGGATTCTCATAAAAATCATCAGCATTGTCCACACCCATATCGTTATTATCTTCTAAATTCGCAGCTGCTGGATCGTTGGTATTGATCGGGTTGGGCGCATCGGTTATAATGTAGCCCGTGTGCAGAGGTCGTAGCTTAAGCTGTTGATCATAGCGCCGCAACTTCTTGGCCCACTCGGCGCTGACCAACGTCTGTGTATCCAAATTCTTTATATCACTGTCCACTATCGTATAGTCTTGCACCTCTTCTGGCAGCTTTTGATCTTGCCAGAAACGATAGTTTGTACGCAGTCGCAGCTCAGAGTCCACCGTTGGCAATATGTTGTGCATAAGCCGATTGGAGGCGTTTATTGAGCCCACCGTAGAGTTTAGTTTACCAAATACCGGATCCTGCAAAGGCGCCGTATCTAAACGTGCATTCAGCGTCTCCTTATTCTTTGTCACCGTAGAGACGGCTTTGCGTGTGCGTTTCTTAGCCTTTGGCGCCGCGCCTGGAGCTGCTTCAATATCATCAGCAGCGCCGCCTTCTGCCTGGTCCGCAATGCTCTCATCGCGGTCGGCGGCTGCATTTAGCTGCTTCTCAGTGAGCGTGCGCGCACTAAGTCCGGCAGACATGCGCATAGCATCCAGATAAATTGAATCCACGCGCAGGCCATACACCTTTGAGGAAGCCTCCAATGATGAGCCAGCCATCTAAAAGGTAAACAGCATTATTATTGGATTCAAAATAAACTTCTTAACTTACCTTAAAGTTGCTCAGCGTCTTGTGATGTCGATCCAGCAGACTAGATAGCGTATCGATCAACGACAGGCTCCAGGCATTGTCACGGCTCAGCTTGTTACCATTGTAGATCTCTAGGCATTTGCGAATGGTTTCGTTTTCTTCGATGGACTCCAGAACGCTGCTGTCTCGGGGTCGGGTTTGCTGCTGCAGCAGCGTGCGGCGTCGTGCCTCGCGACGTTCCGCCTCATCGTCGTTCACCATGGTCGTTAGGTCACGCAGCATACTCTCCCGGTGGCTGCCCACCGCAGAGCGACGCAATGGCGTCTCGGAACGCGGTAACGTCATGATCTAAGGAGTCCAAGCACGAAAGTATGTTGGTTGTTGTCTTATTAACAATTTAGGCACGCTTACCTTTTATCTGTGCAACACTTGTAAGCAGCCGAGCCTTAGCGTTGAAAATATGGCTATGTGAATTTTACTATTTGACTAATTTCACTTAATTATTGCTCGTGCCTTGTTATTCAGTTTTCTTTTATGCCTCTCGTTTTGGCATTATGATTGTATTGGTAATAGTTTACAGTTGCTTTCAAACGACGCCGCAATCTAGGGCTACAACGATAATATCGATATTTTAGTGTTGAATAACAGCAGGAATGGGTAAAGGACAGTATTTTTTCAATCGGTCGCTTTTACCGATAACGGAAAAAAACACTTTTGAAACTTTACCGGCAAAAACAAATCAATCGTTGGCATATTTATACAAAATCAAATTAAATTCATTTGTGTAAGCAGAACTAGTTAAGTTTGACTTACGTAAATAAAAACCGACTTTAAACTTCTAAACATAAAATTCAACAATATATCGATAAGTACCAAGTATCTCATTATTCAGTGTTTGTATGCATACATTTGAAAACAAGCAATAATATACGTACACAAATATTTTTGTCTTATAGAAAATAATATTGTCACAAGCCAAAATGTTTGATAGTGCTGCTGTGCAACACTTATATGCCAAATTATCGATGCAGCCCTCGAAGGCGGCAATCTAACAGTGAACATGCAGACATACATCTGTAAGTCGCGCGCAGCTCAGTAACATTGTTGTGTTTTTTGTATTAAAAATAGTGAGAAGTTATTTTGCAAACTCAGCAATAATTCAATGTAAACAATTTGCTGAATGTAGTGCTCGTTGCAATAGCGGCGCGCTTACATATACAAAGTTAATAGTCGTGCTGCCCATGTCGATTGTGCGTGTGTGTTTATGTATGTGCGTGTGTATTTGAGTTGGGATAACTGCACATTTATATTTGCGCAGCGAACTTAAACGGAAAAGAAACAGTTACTTAGAACATCAATAGAAAACGGAAGAGAAACAAACAACATGGCTCGCGACACGCAGGGCACACAGGCCACCCAGAGTCAGGCGTCCCACATTTGGACCCAGGTCGAAAGCCAGCCCATGGAGAAGATCGTCTGGGGCCGGCTCTATGGCAAGAATATTAAAATCAAGTCCCTTGGTACGAGCATAAAGCCCTACAAAATAATCTATACGCATTCGTCTTTTTGTGTTGGTAACTGTTATACTGTTATATTCAAAATTTAAATGTTTTTTTGTTATATGTATGTACATTTATTTGATGTTTTATACCCTGTTTCTATTATTATTATGTATGTCTTTACTAATTTTATGTATTGCATTTGGAGCTGACATTTCTTATAAGATATCTGCAAATCGTCCTCCAACGCGACTTTTAAGAATTGATGCAAAAGCTTACGTGGTCCTCACACAATTCTATTTAAAGTGTGTTTCTAATGTACATATGAATGTGTATATATATACTGTATTTATCTCTCCTATATTTTCTCTCTCCCTTTGCATTCTCTTTCTATTTCCCTCTCTAGGATTTTTTAAGTATGTATCGCTTAACATATTAAGTAACTGGAACAGGGTATCTTCTAGTTGGGCACTCTCGACTAGACATGTTTGTTACAATTTCTCAATTCCGAATATTTTCTTATTAGACTTGAACAACGACGAATTTTCAGCGGGACGCGGAGAACTAAATGATTTAATATTGACGCTTAATGATTTACCTGAGAAAATTCTATCGCGCATATCCAAGGTGCATTTTATCATAAAGCGCGCCAACTGTGAGCTGACAAATCCGGTTTATATACAGGTAGGTAGCTCAAAATACGCACCCAAAATGTGAACTACAATAAATCCGATTCAATTTGCAACAACCCCCCCAGGATCTCTCACGCAATGGGACTTTTGTGAATGGCGAGAGGATCGGCACAAACAAAACGCGCATCCTACAAAATGACGATATCATAGCCCTCTCTCATCCTACCTACAAGGGTAAGTCCTGTTGCTTTTGCAGAAATTCGAGCGTAGTATTAAAATTTGAACACCTGCTTTTCTTTGTTTTTAGCCTTTGTCTTTAAAGATCTTAGTCCGAACGAGGCGATCGGCCTGCCAGCTGAAATTACCGCTACCTATTATATAAATCGCAAATTAGGCTCAGGGGCATATGGCCTGGTCAGGCTGGTTTATGAGCGACGCACCTGCGAACAATTCGCGATGAAAATTGTTAAGAAAAACATGCTGGAGGTGAGCGCACATCCAAACAACAATCCTAACGATCCGGAGCGTGTGCTGAATGAGGCAAAGATTATGAAAAATCTTTCGCATCCGTGCGTGGTGCGCATGCACGATATTGTCGATAAGCCAGATTCCGTTTATATGGTGCTGGAATTTATGCGCGGCGGCGATCTGCTAAATCGCATAATAAGCAAGAAACTGCTCAGCGAGGATACATCCAAATTGTATTTCTATCAGATGTGCCATGCCGTCAAGTATTTGCATGACAGAGGTGAGTTAAGTGCAACAGATTGGGTCAGCTCGATGAAAGAGGCAAAATAAGGGATTAATATGATTTATAAATTAGAAAATAAGTTATGATTATAATGCATTTTTCAAGGTATTACACATCGCGATCTGAAGCCGGACAATGTGCTGCTCGAGTCCAGCGATGAGGATACACTGCTCAAGGTATCCGATTTTGGACTAAGCAAGTTTGTGCACAAGGATTCAGTGATGCGTACGCTATGCGGCACGCCCCTATACGTAGCACCCGAGGTGCTTATCACCGGCGGACGTGAATCCTACACGCAAAAAGTGGACATTTGGAGTCTAGGCGTGGTGCTCTATACGTGGTAAGGCAGTGATTATGATTTGGCTTCAAAGGCAGACATCAAATTAATATCTATTTGCAGCCTAAGTGGAACTTTGCCCTTTTCGGATGAGTATGGCTCACCGGCCGGCGAGCAAATAAAAAAGGGCAACTTCCGTTTTCGGCATCCCGCCTGGCAGGGCGTGTCGCAGCGCGCCAAGTTGCTGATCAAACAAATGCTCATTGTGGATCCCGAGAAGAGACCCTCAATTGATGCCGTGCTCAAGTGCAACTGGCTGCGGGATACACCGATGCTCTACAAGGCCAAACAACTCATGAAGTTGGAGCATATGGAGATCGGCGAGGAGGAGAACAATTTCCTGGAACCGCCTACAAAGCGGCGGCGGCAATAATAGAGAGCTGAAGTGAAAAAGTTTTAATTTTCTGGAAAAATTAATCGAAACATTTTTCCCCATTGCGCATAGAAGCAGCAAAGACAGCCACTTTACTTAAATGATTCCCCACTGAAAAGTATTTTTATTTTTTTCCTGCGGTTGTTTAATTTTACATGTTGTTTAGTTTAAGTTTTGCATTTGCGTCTTTTGTTAAACGTTGCGTGCCAAAAAAAAAAAATGAAACAAATTTGAATAATTATTACATTTATTGACGCGATTATAATATAAATATAATAATGATTAAATGTATATAGTTAAGTTGACTAAAATAATTGACGTTTAATTTTAGCAGGTGAATTTGATAACTTCTATATTAAAACCGATATTCACTTCCTAAATGACCCAAACTAGACATACGATTTTTCAAAATAATTCGCCACACAATTGATGTAATCAAATAACACTACACCGAGGATTGGAACCCGCATCCTCGTTGAGAATCTATATAAACATGTATGTATGACTAGAAATCTACGCACTTTCTACTTTTTTCCATCTTCCCCAGTTCGCGCTAGTAAAAATTGAACCTGGTATATTTTTGGTAAGCGCATATTAATGTACATATTTATTATTACCAAGTTTGTTGTATATTAGCGTATGTATCAAAATATATATATTAATTTATTTGTGTGACAAGGCAGGCAAATCATACATTTGCCAGTCGAGCAGGTTACATATTGTAAAATTATATCTATATATATATATATTTCATAATATGGAAAACAATTAAATAGTTAGATATCTAAAACTAGGTAGCTATATACATCTGGTGTCCTTTATCTTGTGCGTAGCCAATTTGCGGCCATGTCCAATGGTCAGCAGTGTGCTATCATCACGCCAGACTGCATCCGTAAGACGTGTGTGCGTGTGTTCGTTGGTGTAAATAAAATCATGTTGGAGTCCTACTTTGGCAATCTTCACTGCAGTGGGCAGATTGCTCATGGCCGCCAGATGGGTACTGTAAGAGAAGCCGTTTTATTTTAGGTATGATAAAACTGTTGATTTTTGCACCTACCCATTCACGAGAAGCTGCGAAACATGACCCTCCTTAAAGTAGGACACGGTTTGCTGCAGCTTGCGCGGCGCGCGTATGTCAAGCGTGTGCACATTGCCATCGTAATCGCCCAAATAGACGTAGTTATCGCCTTGCAGCTCACTGGGCGATGCCCAAGCGGCACAAGTGAAGCTAAGCAAATGCGTCTTGTCGTCATAGAGACACGTTGATGAGGGAGATGTGGCACGCACATCCCACAGACGTGCACAACCGCCGCGGTCGCAGGTGAGAATCTGTGTGGCAGCTGCCACGGATGTGGCTAACCCCGTTATTTTGTTGGTGTGTGCCGCGCGTGCATGATACGTGCTGCACAAATCGGCTCCAGAGAGATCCCAGACCTGTTGCAAAACGCATGAAAGTTGTAAGATATAGAAACAGCCGATTTTTAGGTACTTGCATTGAGCGTATTATCCAGGCAAGTGGTAACCGCTTGCTGTGGATGCGACTTAAACACACAGAGCTGATTGATGGGCGCCTTGTGTGCTGCATCTTCGCCAATGAGAAACAAACAGTATGGCGCATCAGGATTGCGCACCGTGGAGTAAGTGGACCAGGCCTGCAGTCGGGTGTCACCCAGCGCCATGAGCAGCACGTTGTTATCAGCATACCGTAAGATGTTAACAGTACATTCACACTGCAGCTTGAAGTCCGCATTGTCCACGGTCATGTGATCTGTCTGATTGTACCCAACGAGCATGCCCCACCACTTACCACCCTCGCGATGATTTGTGGCCAGCGCAAAATGCTGGAGTTCATTCATGGAAATACTGTCAAAGCAGTCGTGCAGGCGTGGTGTCAGGTTCTCCAGGCGGGCATTCATATCAGCCACATTGAGATTGGGATAGTCCACATTGTCAGCCAGTTCCTTGGCCAGTGGTGGCTGGTGCGTTGCGGGCGTGCGATATGTTACCGAACTCCTTTGTGGAAACATCATAAATGCTAAAAATCAGCACAGAATCAAAATAACAAATCTTCAGCGGGAAGGCAACGCGTGCCGGCAACAAACCAAAAAACAGTCTGGTAAGATATCAATATATCGATTAACAAACATATATATATATAATATCACATTTATCGATACTTTTGAATGAAGTATTAAGCCGTTACTTCTCCGTTTCACCATTTTCTATACACTTTTGTAGCTTATACAAAATAATTGTGTTTAAATAATAATACTTCCTACAGGAATTAAAATTTTAAAGCCTTCTTGTAAGCAATACATATGAAAAAGTATACACTATTGGATATCAATAATATCAATAACAATTTTAAATTTTTCAACAAAATATTAATTGAAAATAATACATATTGTCAAAATTGATTTAAACATATATATATTTCAATGCATATATATTAATTTTTATACATATTTGTTTAACTGCATTTCCACTGCATCTTAAACAATCTATATTGCGATAGCTATGTGGCATTTTATAGCACTGTTTACTCTATCGAAGTACTCATTGCCACTGTTACTCGTATCGTCAAATGACATTTCGAGTACAAGCATAACATTGTATTAACAGTAAACAAAGCGTACGCCAACGCGACAGACGTGTTTGTTCTGCGTATTTGTGTTTTAATATAATTTTTTCGTCAAATTAGAATTACTACGCATGTTGGCAAATTTAGTAAAAGGAGCGCACAATGATAAAACACATAAAAGAGATGTAATCTAGTTATCCCTCGACATCGCACAAATGAACCAAAGATACTTATATAAGGCACTTAGTACACAAAAACACAAGTTGCATGCAACATCAATGCAAACGAACATGCAAATTCACTGAAATCCGAAATATACATATAAACAAAGGCACGCAAATAACTGCCTATATGCAATTTCTGGCTATTATGCAAACAATTGTTCAAGATTAAGTACATAAGAACACAAGTGCCTTAAAAATATAGAACAAAAGGATAACTAATTGAAGCCATTAGTAGTACGCCAACTACAGCGTCAAGTGCATTAGTTAATATTAGTAACTTTTATTGAAGCCAACATGGACACGGGCAGCGTAATGGATATTTATGCCATTTATTTATTTCGACCCGGAAGTTCGCCCGTTGATTGGTGCGAGGGCAATTATTTAATATCATCGAATATTGCCGAGTTCGTCAACACGGTGCGTATACATTTGTGGTATATCTTTTCTTTTTGGTTTTACTTTTTTTTTTGCATAACCCCTTTTGTGGTACTTATAATTTGCGCTGCACTTGCAGAAACACGCGCGTGCACACGCACACACACACACACCCATTTACAGCGCGCTGTAAGACCTTGACCTTTCTGTGCGTGTGAAAGCTACTCACACTAACAAGCGCTGATTGTAAACAAAACAGCGATGCTGTGTTAGCAAACACTTGACAACACTAATAGTTACAGTTAGTTTTCAGAACATGTGGTACCAAAAGTTGTTCTTTACTTAATAGCGCATTGGAATTTTTTTGTTTTATAAATTGATTAATGAAATTTGTCACTTTAGTTGTGAAAAAGAAATTTGTGCGAGGTATTTACGACACTCCATTAGTAAAAAGGAATTTAAACTTTTCTTTAGATTAGAACTTATTAACAACTATACATAACAAAAATTGAGTCTCCATTGAAAATATTACAATATACATATGTAATTTGCGTTTTGTTTGAGAAACACTGAGGTTTGTTCTAATTTTGAATAAAATACATCAAAAACATGATATAACTAGAAATAAGTATAAAAACGTGCTTTTCATAGAATATGATACGTTTTTATTTTTTTTCGCGGTCGTAACTAACGTTAATTACAACATTGCTTTTTAAAGTTTGTTATTGGATTTTCTTATCGCTGTTTCGCGTTGCATTTCTTGAGCTAATTATTTATCACAGACTCAAACTCAAAGTTCATGTCACAAATGCGTAATAAGCTTCGCAGTGATTCCTTTGTATAAATAAAAGTACGTGTGTTCCCGTTTTTTTTCTTCCAGTTTTTCTTCGTTCTTTTGCGCATTTGTTATCAACAACTGTTTGATTTTTTTTCCAAGCTTGCGTAATCAAATCAAAAGGCAGTATTTATTATTTTAATAAGCAAAAATAGGACACCAAACTATTTACTAGCTGAATGATCAGATAATTACTCAATCACCGTAACAGATACGAATTCAAATTTGGAATTCGTTTACTTTAAATAAACATTAATACCTTAAAGCACATATGATCTGGCTATCTTGATAAATGCGGTTGGATTAATGTTTTTTCTATAAAATTGTTTAATAATTAAAATTTAAACTTCGAGCAGCTACAATTTCACTGAGATCATAATCTAATTTTTTGATCTGCTGTCTTGTTTCGAAAATTCTTGCCTTGAGAGCAACATTTGCATTGCTTTTGTAAGCTTCAATATTTTAGAAATTGAATGAAGCTTAAAAAATATTGAGTTTTTAAAGCACAGCTAGGAACTGAAAAGAAAAATTTACGAGCAAGCAATATAATTAAAATTTTATATATACTCATGGATATATTTAGGAAAAATTAATATTAATTTAAGCTACTAGAATATGTTTATTATTTTAATTTTTCATTTGAAAACGCCAACCTCTGTTAGACATAAACAAATTAGGCTTAAATGTTGTTAGAGATTCAGAAAACAGCAGTTTGTCATTTTGTTTTCCCACCCATCTTATCTGATTGAGCTACATACATATCTTTTGATTGATGGCCGCACTGATTTCACACAATCTATCACAATATCGAATTATCTTAAATATACATTGCCATAGCTCCCTTCATTATACAGATTGTGAGTATAATTCGTAGATTGAAACTATGTTCAATACTGATTGAGACTTCCAATCAATATACAACTTTATTTACCATAACAAATATTGACTCTACAAACAGAACTCTTGCAATTACCTATACGCTAATTCATTATTATTGGACTTTACAAGTGTTATTTAAGTCTAATGATATTGTAATGGAAATCTGTTTTGGTCAATATGCTTTCATTGTAAAGAATCGCTAACGATGATGAAAAACTTTTAATTGTTTTTATTTTATTAGCCTGAGTAATTGCTTCATTTTTTGTCGGCTGCAATTAATTTAAAGCTCACACTGCCTTTTGTTCAATTCCCTTATTTTTTTTTCTGAAATGCAATAAGTTAATGAACTGCTTGGGGGTCATGCATACATATTTATTATATATATTATACACATATGACGCCTAGTTGTGTTTATATAAGATATACAAATATATTCTACAATGTTAACAACGACTCGCCTTGCCCAGCCCCATTTCGTGATGGCCTCTAATTGCAATTGCATTTGCTTTAAATATCTTTCAACTTGTTTAACACACATTATTTCAATTTAATTATGTTTTGGCCCATAAATTATTCCCGTCATTCTTTGTTCTCGTGCTTCGGTTGAAAACATGTTAAAATGACACGAAATATAAATTGTTGAAAAACTCTGTCCGAACAAATGGCATAACAAACTGTTTGACACACTTATATGTACATAGATATAGATATGGTTGGTTGCTCGCTTTCTCGTGGGGGTAGGATTTGGCCTAATGTCATTATTTTTATTGAGCCTAATGTCATTATTTTTGTTGAGCAAGGCTAGCATGTTGTAAACAGGGTATATTCGAGGCATTCGTTTACTTGTTTCGTGTCCGCATTCTATATTCTATATAAAACTGACCGGCAGTAATTAAAAAAAACGCGTTTGTTTATTTGAATAAGTATCTTGACCTCAAAAATTGTTGGCTACCTTTCTTTTCAGCAGCTCAGCTCGTAAGCTTAGTCCATAAAAGCTCGTAACTAATCAATTCAGTCGAATATTCAAATAATAATTTCGCTTCTAACTAACTCTTTCTATCTAATTTATTTTATTTACTCTAAATGCTAATAGCTGATCGCTTTAATTTTTAATATAATATCCTGATTAGGAATTAAGATTCTATTTATTTTACAGCAAAACGCATTGGTACCAGAAAATTATCAATTTTAGGAGTTATAATTTTTCTTAAAAAAAATATTTTATATTTGCAATTTAATGATTGATTTTCAATATTATTTTAAAATTTGACAAAATGCTTATAAGAAGACAATTAAAATATTATAAAAAGTTCCTCTCACTCAAAAAAAAAAAACGAATTCATTATCAATATCGAATTTAGTTTTTCTAAAAAGATTATAATAATTCTTATATAATATTTTGTATTATTGTTAATGCTAGCTTAATAAATCTGAAAATTATTGTTTTAATTCATATGCATATTCTTAATATTTTTAGTTCTAACTTAGATTTTTTAACATTTATTCATGTAATGAATATTTTTTCTAATACTTTAATTGCCATCTTAACGATGTGTTTAGTTGAAATTAAATAATTCAAACTTTGGTTTAACTTAGTTGTGTATAGCTTATCTAACTGTCGCTTGCTTCTCTCTTACAGTTCAGCAATTTTCTGTTTATCCTACTGCCGCCCGTGCTGATAATGTTGTTTAAGGAATACGGAAGATTCGTGACGCCCGGAATACATTTGCTGTGGGTGCTGCTGATTGTTGTGGGTCTCAGTTCCATGTATTTCCATGCGACATTGAGTCTGTTGGGCCAGCTGCTCGATGAACTGGCCATACTCTGGGTGTTTATAGCCGGCTTCTCGCTGTTCTATCCCAAGCGTTACTATCCAAAGTTCGTGAAGAACGATCGGTAAGTCTAGTGAAAATATATAATATGAAATGAATGCTTCTAACTTAAATTAACTCTTGTCTGCTTAACAGCAAAGCCTTCAGCTGGCTCATGTTGACATCGGCCATTATCGCAACGGCTTTGTGCTGGTGGAAGCCCATTGTTAATGCCTTTGTGCTGATGCTCATGGGCGTGCCGACAATGATAATGCTCTACACCGAGCTGCAGCGGTGCGTATGTCCCGAAATATACCCAAAAAATTTTCTAGCCGATAAGCAGCGTTTGCCTTGTTGACCGATAAGTTAAAACAAAGACAGCTAAATCGTATATCATATCATTCAATCCTTATCAATTTTATGCATGTTTAACAAAGCCTACGGCTACTCTAGGTTTTCTGTTTTTTTTTTTATCAACTGGGCACAGGTGTACCCATTGCCTAATCTATGTATTTATATAGGTCTGTGTGTTTCCAATACATCATCCAACTTTTTTCAAAGCAAGTCAAAGTTCAATAGAGCTTCTCTTGAAATAATGGGCGCAACTGTTGAAATACCTTTGGGTCATAAATCACAGGCTTATTTTATAAGACTGCCAAAAGACGGATGGCTTTTAGGATTTTTAATCTATTTCAATTTTTTCAAAGCAAGCTATTATCTTTAAATTAAAAAAAAAACTCTCTTAGATAAGCTACCGTAGCCCTCTTGAAGCAGTACTCGAAGCTCTGTCATCGAAAATCAATTAAAACAGAAAAGGTTTGCTTTGTCGAGTCGAGAGTCTTTTTTAAAGAAAATAATTGACTCCCATAAAGATAGGCAGTTTAATTCAATCGGAAGTTCGAACTAGATTGTGATTTATATGGTCCTTAATAAAAAAGTCGTACAGACTTTTGTATATTTTCTTCTATCAAACAATTTGACTACAAAATTATAAATTTCATAATTTTTGTTTTACAATTGAAGTAAACGCGTAGCTAGTATACAATTATTTTAAACGAAAAATTAATAATTCAGCTTCTTAGTATATCACTTGAGAAATATCAATAATATTTAATTTTTGTTGTTTGCACTATTTTTTTCTATAATTTTAATAATCAAATTGAAAATTTTGTGATTTGGCAAATTATCGAATTGAATAATGGCTTATAGTAATTATTTGAGAGTAAATGAAAAAAGTTTATGCTATAGAAGGCAATTAAACAAATGTCCACAGTCATGATAAGAATGATAATTAAATGATATTAAAACTTTGCTATTTAATAGGATACGTGGCAAGGGAGACATTTGCGATTTTATAAGGTTGATATATGTTTTAAGTCAGTATCAAGAAATAAGTCGAACCAGTTGGGAATCAGATTACTAAAACATATAAGAGAAACTGATTTTTCTTTGCAAATCCTTGTTTCTTTTCAAGATATTTCAATTTAATTCAGATAAACTAGATATAAGACAATTTTTATCTATTACGGACTTCAATATCATACAGTGTCTAAGGAAACTGTAGGATCAAGCTTTTAGAATTAAACGCTTAAAATTATTTGTATAAATGATGTGGCTAATCAGCTATATGTTTGCCGGAATATTTAATCTTCGGCAACCTATTTATAACTTAAATGTTGTTTGATAATTTCGCAGAGCACTTGAAAGAAAGTTCAATAGACGTTTAACCATATAACACATATTAAGAAATAATATACATATATCGTATAACATTTTCAACAATTCCAACATATAAGCATGCATATTTTCTATCTGTTGCCATGGCAGTCTGTAGTTCTTCTATACAGAAGCTAAAATTTGCGAACTTTGTTTTTTTTTTTCATCCGCAGAGTTCGTGATCAGCGCGTTTATCGTCTGGGCCTGCGTGCCACGACAGTTTGGGGCGTGGCAGTTTTTTGTTGGATCAACGATCGCATGTTCTGCGAGGCCTGGTCAGCAATTAACTTTCCATATCTGCACGGATTTTGGCATATACTCATATTCATAGCTGCCTATACGGTGCTGGTGCTGTTCGCATATTTCTATGTGGAATCCGAGCTGCCGCAGCGGCAGCCGCTGCTCAAGTATTGGCCAAAGAATGAGTTTGAGTTCGGCATACCCTTCATATCGATAAGAAATCCAGGTAAGACACTGCACAGCACGATCTAAGTTGCAACAACAAATGCCATGACAGACCAAATAAGGAAATCAAACCAAATTTAACAAATAAGACACACAGTAATGCTTTAGCTAGTTGGTAAATTATGTATTTTTAGACCTTAGTGCGCAACACAATATTTAACTGGTTGTCAAATTGTATTAGTCCAATTGTAGCTAATTTGTTGGATTGGAGGTTAAGGCTGTTAAAGTATTAATCCTAAGATTTGTTTGAACTAATGTACATTAATCTGTATTGCTTAGCATCTAGTATATGGAGTATATACATATATGTATCTAGTACTGCCCCTAGTGGTGCTGTGTAAACACACACATATCCCAAAGATCCTAAAAAGTCATTAATCTAACTGCTTGTAAGTCCACTAATATGGTTGCAGTCAAGCGCGCAATGGCAACAGACTCGAACAAAACTCGTTTTCCCCAATCTGTATGAACAGGCTGTGATATGTTATACTGACTCATTATGCACCCCTGAGACTTCCAAAAAAAAAAGATAAATAAATAATAAAAACCGCATATGAGTGAAGAAAGAAAAAACAATATACGTTCCTACATTCTTAATTTCGTCGCTTGCTCCTAAAAAGTTTTATGGGTACCTGAATGCCTGACTGCCTTATATGAGTATGATAAATCCGATTGCTTTGTTCGAGAGTCTCACAAAGAAAGTCTTTTGATAGCCATTGTTCCTTGACTGCACCCACGTAGCCACTAATCACCGTATGCATAAGACTTCTACTAATCCACGTAGTTTTGTTTTTGGACCAATTGCGAATTTCCAATGCCTGCTCTTAAACGCAAAAACAATTGCTGATCCCACAGATTCGAAAGATTGGCACATCTACTGCAGCTTATTCGTGCAGGATTACGACAACGGGCTAAAGGCTCTGCGCTGAAAGTCTTGACACTATTTAGAATTAGATCTAAAATGCGCCATACAAAAAGAAAAGGAAAGTTTACAAAATTAATGAACTGGTTTTTGCCAACATCTGTTTGTAACTTATGGAAATTTGCATAACGTACTTGTAAACTATGTCCAAATTAAAGAAAGTCAAAAAGTTTATGATATATTGCTTAGTTTAAGTCTTTAAAATAAGCTAAAACTAAATTAGTCGAGCGTTTGTACATTTCATTCGTCAATTCTGAGTTTAGTCAAGATATTTTGAAAACTCAACAATTTAAAAACAAAAAAAAACATTCATTAGTTTCTAAGGCAGCTATATAATACAGAGAGTCAATCCGACTCCTAAATATATATACGGATACATGCCGAGCTTCATTGAGATATTTTTATATCTAATAAAAGATAATGTATAGAAACAGGAGGACTTGGGTACATACATATATAACAAAATTAATTAATTAATTTGAAAAGATTTAGAAGATTTCCTGAATAATCTGCAGTATGTTTGTATAATTCGTACAACAAACTAAGCAATATCTTGGTGAATTGATGTTAAGTGGTCTGGTAAATTTTATGGAGCGTTTAGCGTAGACAACGTGATATAAATTAGTGGTACAACTGATGCCTAAGCAATTTAAATTATATATCCAAACTACAAATACTTATGAAATAAATTATACAACCTTGAACAACTATTATTAGCTTACCTGATCAGCAACAAAAAATATATACATGAAAAAGTTTTCAATAGTAAATTACAGTTTTAGCTGTCATTTAGAAGTTAACTTAAGGTTAACTGAAGAGAACAAATATGAAAAAGAAAAACATGACATTGTACTGAGTTAATGATGCAAACAAATTGTTGATAATGCATACTTAATATAATAAAAGAGCTTGTAAGCAAATCTTTTCTGTTGTTACAGTATTTATTCCATATAATTCTCATGATTTTCATTTGAATACATTTAATTCTAAACATATACTTTGTAAATCGTATAACTCGCTTGATAATAACTAAATATGTGTTATTATGTGCAATTTCACAGTAGAGGTGTAAGTATTTTAGTTGTGCTTCACTGAGCATTGGTCCAAAAACAAAAATTCGTAAGTATATTTCCAAAATATCTAATCCGAATCGGATGAGATATTAGTGCATGAATCGCGTGCCGTACGCTTGTTCAATGAGTTGTAGAGGCCATTCAATTGATACGGCCCGCGGTAGGTGACAATATTCTTTGGCGTCTCGAATATTTTGACCTCATAAAGGAGCTCCGGCTTCTTGAGATGAGTGCGTATATTATCCCAAATATATACGGCCAGGTTCTCTGTTGTGCTCGGCTGTAAATTTATATTGAGGGTAATTCATTGAATTCTTAGAATTTCGGTATGTGCAGGATATTTACAATTTTAGCAAAGTACTCCACATCCTTGTCTAGATTCTTGTGATCCAGGCGCTTCATAATGACCGCCTCAATGGCATCCTTTAATTCTGTTATGTTCAGCACCATGCCGGTACGTCGATCGATGGGTCCGCGCACAGTCAATTCCACTAAGAATAGACAAAGAACATAATTTATTATAATTACAAGAATTTGAACAGAAACGCAATCTATCAAGCCCCGTAGAGAGCTGACACTTCTACAGCCTTTGCAGCCTTGTAATTGCAATATTTCAACAAATTCATTCTGTTCATATGCAATTATATCATTTTCGCATTATCAATTATTTTTTTTTATAACCTTGCTTTTCATATTTAATGAATGATGAACTTGATAAGCGAGCTTGTCGGCCAAGGCCTGGCTAAGGTATAAACAGATTGTTTGTTTTGTCTCATATTTCCAATGGCTGTGGTTTTTTATGCTCGAGCAAATCGAATGCCATTTGATATGGCTGCTACTAATCGCAACTAATCAGGCATTTAATGTTAACAATTTACGAAAATATTTATGCCAAATATGCACAGAGGCCGCGTACCCGTATAATTGTGACCGTGTCCATTGAAATTATTGCATTTCCCGAAGACTTCCAAATTTTCGGCATCGCTCAGCTGAGGACTGCAATGAATGGAAAACGCAATTGAATAAGGAAACCAAAACACATGCGAGTAAAGCAATTAAGATAACACAAGTGTGCGAGTTGTCAATTTTGATATTGAATTGAATTTATTTATTATTTATTACCTGTGCAGGCGATGGCAAGCGCTGAACGTTTCTCGGCGCGTCAAAAATGCAACAGGTTGTTGGGACATGCTGCAGTTGCTGATTATAAGAGGAATGCGACTTTATCGGGATTGCAGGAGTCTAGGTATTCGGTGGCACGTGCGCGAGCACTGTTTTGCTGTAAATGCAAGACCTGCTTTCAAAACGCGCTTATTTATATGATTGACTGTGTGCGAGGTAGAAGAAACAATTTGTTAGCTGCGAAGCAACAGTTCGACTTGTTAGCGCACTTACGAATGTGAAATGCGGCAGCAGCGCTCACTAACTAACTTTATTTTGTATGGCAAATATAATGTAATCTCAAATCAATTCCAAATAACTTTGTCTACGTCGGCTACATGCAGTAGTGCAATGAAAACAACAACAAACCCAAAAGTATCGATGTTGCATTGGCATCGATACGACTGTTGACGTGTGCCAGCACTAGCAAATTCAAAAAAAGTTGAAGCCCATAAACACTTCATTAGAGGGTTCGTAAATAAATGCGTGTGAAAGGTGCAGCTATATGTGTTTTTTGTTTTAGCTTGCACGACGTAATTTCCTTCCAAAGTCGAAAAACAAACAGCCAGAAAAATGCAAAAAAGTTGCCCACGACGTAAAAGTTCATAAAAATAACTGGTCAACTAACATTAAAAATATGAGTTAATGAAGTCTAATTTTTTAATCGGCATATAAGTAATTGATCATCAAAGTACTTTTCAAAGTTCTTTCATGTCACTACAAAAAAAAAAACAGAGCGTTACGAAATTAATATAAATTTAACATGTTTATTTAATGCAATAATTATAAACATAGCTATTCAAAAATATTGTTATAATAATGCAAACCAAATCAATCGATTACCATTTGAAAATAACTGTATGATGTTGCCAGATCTTTGTTTTTCGAAAACACATGTGTGGATTAACAGAAACAACCCTGCCACTCTTATCGAAACTCTTACATCACTAGAATGAAAAACTTGACAACAAACGACGCGACGCGCGCTCTTTCGAAACTAACAGCATTTTAATTTGTTTAAACAAAAAACTGTGTAAATATAATTAGTAAAATGAGCAACAAAAGCACGCCTGTGCAGCAACGCATACACCAATTCCAAGCACGTGCACGCGGCAGCTTTGGTGCCAGTGGCAGCGCCACAAAAACGCCTGCAACAGTTGCGACAGGACTGCGTCGCAAGGTGTTGTGCCGCACGCCCAAACGGAGTGCCGAGAAGCCGACGCACACACAAGCAGAACAGCTGCTAAATACGGCTTTTAGCAGCGGCATTGCAACACCAACTCCACACCCGAAGCCAAAGCCAACCGCACTAAATGCATGTTACACGCCCTCGTCGCTCTACCGAAATGCGGGTAAATCAACGCCGCTGCGAGGACACCAAACGCCCAACAACAACGTGAAATCCGCAAGCAGGATGAAGGATAAAGATGCCATGGTCGAGTCCTTTCACAGCATTGCCGAGGAGAGCAACATGATTGTTGCGGTGCGCGTGCGTCCACTAAATGCGCCGGAATGCCAGCGTGCCAGCGTCACGAATGTGGTCCAAGTCCATGGCAACAACGAGCTAAGCGTCCAGGCGGGCAGCAGCGCCGATGCGACGGCCGGAGTCACACATTTCTTTAGCTACGATCAGGTTTACTATTCATGCGACCCGGATCGCAAGAACTATGCGGATCAGCTGGCCGTATTTTCGGGCACAGCGCAGCCATTGATCGACACTGCCTTCGAGGGATATAATGCGTGTTTATTTGCCTACGGACAGACCGGTTCGGGCAAATCCTACAGCATGATGGGCATTGAGGGGCTGGATGATGCGGCCCTAGATGGCAATGCCCCGCATATGGAAGCGGGCATTATACCACGTTTCTGTCATGAGCTCTTCAGAAGAATTGATGCAGTCAAGCAGCAGCTGCAGGTTGTCTATCTATTTATATAAAACTGACTTACTTGGCCCAGGCCAAACCGGTTACCAGCTAGTATACATATATGTATATACTCCAATTTATATTTACTTTAATTTATATTCTCTTTTACCCATAGGTGGAGGTGGAGGTCAGCTACTTTGAGATCTACAATGAGAAAATACACGATCTGCTTAGTGTGCAGCAGGCTATTGCCGCCACGCCGGATACGCCCGTGCAGCGGCATGCTCTGAAGGTGCGCGAGCATCCTATTTTCGGGCCATATGTTGTGGACCTGAGCGCTCATTCGGTGGACTCATATTCGGCGCTGCGCAACTGGCTGGCCGTGGGCAACTCGCAACGCGCCACCGCCTCGACGGCCATGAATGACAAAAGCTCCCGCTCGCATTCCATATTCAACATTGTGCTAAATCTCACAGACTTGAGCAGCGATGATGGCATGTCCTCGGACACCGATTCCGGCACGGTCGTCTCGCTGCGCCAGACGCGACGCAGCAAGATCAGTTTGGTGGATCTGGCGGGCAGCGAACGCATAAGCGTATCCGGCTCAAATGGCGAACGTATACGCGAGGGCGTCAGCATCAATAAGAGCCTGCTCACCCTGGGCAAAGTGATTGCCGCGCTGGCGGATTCGCGCAAGATTGGCGGTAATGCCACGCCCAGCACATTTGTGCCCTATCGGGAGAGTGTGCTCACCTGGCTATTGCGGGTAAGTGAAACAATGCACTTTATGAATTCCTTTACCTACTTTCTTATCAAACAACAAGTGGCTTATCGGACCTCGATCTGGTTTACTTAATGCGTTATCTTTTAGGCCCGATTGACCCATCGTATTATTTATGTTCATATTTTATTTCCACAACTTTATGGCGTTCTATTGGTATTGCTTAATGTCTTGATTGATCTGTAGCCAAGCGTTTAATTGTAGCAACATAACTCATAGGCCAAGTACTAAAATGTAGCCCTCAAAGATAATCTCTTATCTTTGTTTAAAAAAATATTTATATTTTTTTAATGC